ATTGACAACTATTGATACTGTGTTTCTGGCCCCCCCCCCCACCATGCGCCCAGGGTAGAGATTGGTGGGATTTCAAATTCTGAGCTTGGGGCAAGCTCAAGGATTGGTGGGATTTCAAGCCCTGAATTTGAAATTTGGGCTTTTTACTTTGTAGGGACGAGCTTGACCACCTACATTTGTAAGGTTTAAGTCAAGCCATCATGGCAATTAGAGTGTTCTGTGGGCAGAACCTGTTGGTTGGAGGTCCTTTGGGGCTTGGCTCAGCTCTTAGAGTATTCTTTGGGGTGGGGCCTAGTGGTTAGAGATCCTCAAGGGCAGGACCTGTCATTCATGTACCTCATTACCTTTTTTGTTTGCAATTAATAAACAGGGGTCAGGAAAGGGGGGTAACATTATCATTAGACTACTTTCTGTTGAATGGGGATATCTAGGTCCTTGGGCAAGCTTGATCTTCACCATCAGGGTATGTATAATCAGGAGTTGTAGGCCTCTGCTCTCTAGCTAGAGACCAGTAATCTTGTAATAGCAACTGATTCAAAGTCTGGTAGAAATCTTTTGGATCTGTTGAAATCTAGACAAGAAGTTTATAAGGCAAGATGTGACTAGTAGGATTAAAAAAGGAGAAAGGGGGTTAAGAAAGTCACTATCCAATTCCATGTTGGACTGTTAACGATCCAATGCTTTTGGGCATTGAGCTGTTTCTTACGGTTTTGGAGATCTGTCTGGAGTTGTCAGATCTTATTTTTTACTATACCCAACTGGTTGACACAGAAGCAACAGAACAAAGACCACCTCTCTCTGAAGTTAGTAAATCTAACCCTTGCTGATTTTGTAGCACTACAGTGGCCACTGAGTCTGTTTAGTCCTGGAGGGTAAGGATGGTCTGAGCCACCCATTGGAGATCATAGATGAACTTAGGGGAAAACTGATGGTAGACAGCTAGGAAAGCAGTCACCCCACCACCCTCAGTGGCATTGCCAGTGATTATACCCAGGACTTGAGAAAGCATAGGACCTGAATCACTCATTTGTCATGCCATACTGCTGTAAACCATGTGATGTGAACTGGCAAGGGCTCTTCCTTGGGTATCACCACCCCTAGTTTTGGAAAAAAGAACACAAGGGCTCTATTCCCAGACTACCCAGTGGGTGGGCAGCAGGAACTTGAGTGCTGCAGACAATCAAGACATTTTTGGTCATAGGACCTTAACCCTTAACTAAGGGTTAAGATATTATTGCACTCTGAGGAATGCAGTATGCCTACAAAGCATGCTCCTGAGGAGTTAATGCAATCTGATGTCAAAGAGAGAGATGTGGTAGAGATAAGGGATGGTAGTAATATTTGGCTTAGAACAGTTAATGAGTGGCGAAGTAAGAGTGTCTAATAAGACAATGGGCAAGGCCACAAAATGTGCTTGTGAGTTTGATCCAGGAGGGGCATACACACAGCTAACATTCTCCAGAGCAGTCAGACAGTGTTGTTCAGTAGCTGATAATGTAGATTAAGGTCTGAAACAAGAGATGGTGTGACAGGGAGGTGGGATCAGTATTGTCTAAGAGGGTGATAATTAGGGATGTAAGTACTTTTGAGGAGTGTTGGACCATTTCTTCTACCATGTCTACCTAGGGATTGAGAGTGGGGTATGTATCCTTTGTATTTTGATGATGCCTGATGGATGGCTGTGATAAATACTATCAGTGACCCCCATCTAGGGTGTCATATGTTCTTAATTAAGATATAAAAGATTCCCCATTCCAAATATGCATCAAGTCTCCTACAGGACCAATAAAGGTAGTTAGTCTCCGTAAGTATCTGGTCAATGTTGACAGTAATCTCTAGTTTGATCATAGAGAAAGCAAGCATAGGGGACAGGTGTTTTAGAAATTGATTTAGGTCTTATAGGGATAAGTATCTGTTTTTGGCAATCTGCTGATGAGCAGTCTCCAGCAGTCTGGTTGACCCGTTGAGTGTAGGTTTCCTGAACCTTTAAGTTCTTAATATAACAATAGCATAGGGGAGGAAAGAAATCTGAATTTTTTTTTCATTTTCATGACCTTAAATCACTTCCTTATACATTCAGAACTTTCTTAGAACCTTGGATGAGCAGCTTTTTGAAAGAGGTTTATGGTTCAGGCATCAGGTGCTGCCCCCTGCTGTCACACCCATGTTACAGCCCAGGTCTACAATACTTTCTCCCAGGATGTCTATAGAGTCGTGACCATTCGGATTGGCTACCCAATAGCCCTGAGCAGTCTGGCCTTGGGTGATCTCTCTCCTTACCTACATCTGACTTAATTAGCTCAATGTGCAGGTCCTTCTTAGACCCCCATGGTTTCGGCTCCAATGGGACATGTGACATTTCATCCATGACATCCTTTCTTTCTTGACAGGAAGTCTAAAGCTAAGCCAAACGGCAAGAAAACTGCCTCAGAGGAGAAGAAAGTATACCTGGAGCCAGAGCACACCAAGTCCAGGATCACCGACTTTGAGTTCAAGGAGCTGGTAGTGCTGCCCCGGGAGATCGACCTCAACGAGTGGCTGGCCAGCAACAGTGCGTGCGGGTGGGGAGGCGGGTGAAGCAGCTGCAGGGCAGGGAGCCTACCCCCATCTCCAAGTACCCCCAGAGCAGTGGTCCATGGACAGGCCGAACTCAGCTGAACCTACTCCCTGTCACGCCAGCTGGAGCAGGGGTGTTTACTCACCTGGCCCTTTGCTTCTCTTCCAGCAACAACATTTTTTCACCACATCAACCTGCAGTATAGCACAATCTCAGAATTTTGCACAGGAGAGACGTGTCAGACAATGGCCGTGTGCAACACGTGAGTAGCAGCTTGGCCATAGCACCAGTTGGGAGTGTGGGATGGGTTGTGGTTGACCTTGCTGTCCTGGCTACTAGCTTCTTGGACTCCATTCTTAACTGGAATCTCTGCACAATCGCAGGCTAGGCATGCCCAGTATGAGTGCCTCTGCTGAGGCATAAAAGATACTAAGAACCATCAGAGGCCAGAGGCGGGCCATGCTTAGATGGTCCCTGAGCCTGCAGAGTGCTCAGTGTCCTAGGAGCTGCAAGGCTAAGTGAGCAGGCTCATTCTACTAGTAAAGGTGTCTGTTGACAACTTCAGAACAGGTCTAGTGCTGACAGCTCTCTTTTGGATATATGTGTACATTCAGTGCTGTAGTATGCAGGTGTCTTCAGGGTTTCCAAGATAACTCACCTTGCTTTGTGCATAGGAAAACCATTGGGTGGCACACACTTGCCAGCAATCCTGGGTTGATGGTAGGAGTGGCTGTGCTTATGCAAGCAGGCTGGGTTTGGCATGGCTCAGCCTAGGGTAGATGTGGCCAAGGAGGTAGAAGATCTTCCATGATGACTTCTCAAGATGCTGTGGGTACATGGAAAATGTGTGTGTAGTGTATACTCAAACAGCTCTCCCTGTAGGTACAGATTTCCCCAGACAACAGCTCTGCTTTCAAGAGTCTGCTGTAAGTCCTGATACAGCAGGTGATGGGAGTCTCCTCTGTCTCAGGTCTGCTCACAAAGTTCTAGTGGTTATAGCTCAATTTCTGGCAATGTAGGGGGAACAGAGCCAGCTCTCTTCCCTAGGAGGGTCAGGTGTCAGCTAAGCATTGCCAGGGAAGGTGAGAAGCCTTGCTGGGGACAAGCTTGGTGTGTGTGTTTAACAGAGGTGTGGCCTCTGAAGGACAGACCCAGTCAGATTCTGAAGTAGCACATGAGTACATGTGCAAGCCTAGATAATACCAAACAGCATGGTACCCTCCCCAGCTTCTCCCATGTACCTCTCAGAGCTGAATTTGTTTGGGAAAAGCTTTCTTGAGAGCATAGGAGCTAGTGTTGTGCAGACCTGCATTCAGTGCATGCTGGAGAGCCTGGGCAGCTAAGCTTGCCATTTGCTCACTTTGTGGAATCACTTAATAATTCCTACTATAATCCCTTTGCAGGAATCATGTGAGACTAAGGGATTTTGAAAACTCAAAATTAGTTTAAAAGGAAAAGTGGGTTAGTCAGAAATCCACAGAACTCCTTGCTGTGCACAGCCCTGAAGGTTTGCCTAGGTTGGAGAAGACCTGCATTAGGCTAGGTCTCATTTCTATTCTTGCAATACCTGCAGGATAACCCCAAAAGGCCAGCATTGGGATCTAGGGAGCCAAGACACATTCAGAAACATGGCCAAACAGGTCCCTCAGAGACACTCCTTTGAATTGACAGAGCTGAGTGAACCCTTAAGGACTCCTGTGAAATAACCCAGACACCAAGTATAGTAAAGGCCCTCTAGCATCCAAGGCAGTGAGTGCTGTGGGACTTGGGGAAGCACTCCATGTCTCACCTAGCACAGGGAAGAGGCATTACTCCACATTATTTCACATCTAGCAGCCATGCCCTTCAGAAGCACAATCGAATGGACCATTGCAAGGTATCTGATCTACTGTAGAAGAGTTTCAACCAGTTCTTCAGCTGTGCGACAGCACAGAAGAGTCAGCAATAGGAGAAATACACACTCTTCTCTGGAGCGCTCAGAAGTTATTTCAAGGTGAAATAAAGTATGGTCTGACACATTCTCAAGTTCAGAGAAGGGATATGTGAGCAATGGCGGTGAGAGGAGATACCAAACTCAGCTTGAAACCTTGAACATGAAAAGCTATGTATGTACTTTATAATTCTTTAAGCAACTCCAACAGTGATATGAAAACATACAGTCAGAACCATAATTGGTAAATTGAAATGGAATCATTAAAAAGGTGGGGGTGGGGAGATACAGCCCTGTATACAGCAAGACCATGTAATTATAAAGATAAAAACAGAACAAGCAGAAAACCAACAATGGTAATGTAAATCCATCAGATGAATGACTGCTACAAAGTGAGCATAAGAGTTTCAAAGAGATTTTTATGAACATATTCTTTTTTTTTTTTTTTTTTTGGTTTTTCGAGACAGGGTTTCTCTGTGGCTTTGGAGGCTGTCCTGGAACTCGCTTGGTAGTCCAGGCTGGTCTCAAACTCACAGAGATCTGCCTGCCTCTGCCTCCTGAGTGCTGGGATTAAAGGTGTGCGCCACCAACGCCCGGCTATGAACATATTCTTGTAGAATTAAATCTGAGCCTCCCTGTGAGAAATACTCACCATCATCAGTCATAACCGGAGGCTACTAAATAGCACTGCTATATATCTCGTGGTTCTGAGAAGAACTTCTTGGTTCATGAACAGCAGCTCTTTTTGAAAGGCATGAGTACTGGCCATGGCTGCTCTACCACTCTGGCTTGATCACCTCCAGCTTGGACAGCATGGCAGAATTCTGTCTCTTATAAAACTTTAAACAGGGCTGGGGATGTGGCTCAGTAGCAAAGCAATTGCTAGCATGCATTATGCTGAACTTCAGCATAAATTAGTTACTCACCAATCAATCCAAATGAACACTTTGGTATATATAAGTTCCTCAAATACTTATAATGCATCCTCACCCCCAAGGTCACAGTATTAGGAAGTAGGCTTCTGGAGGTCAGACCCTGAAGGAGCCCAGCAATGAAGTAAATATAGAAAGATCAGTACACAGAAACAGTTACAGGTCTGCATGCTAGTTGTGTATGATTGAAAGCCTAACTAGTCAGAACCATTTACAATAGCTCCAGAAGCAAGAGAATGCTTAGGTATAAACTTAGCATTCAAAGGGCTCTGTTTCTGGAAACCACAGAAGGACAGCACATGAACAGCCACATTGTGTTCGTGGATTAGAAGAAAACAAGCTGAACGTACAGATTTACGCTGGATGAATTTGTGGTTTAGTGTATCCCCAGTTAAAACTCCTCAGAGCTATTAGCTACTGGACTAGTGTGTTCTGGAATTTACATGGAAGTGGGTAGCTGGAGTTAGCCACAACAGTGCAGCTGGAGGGGGCCACAGTTTGAAAATACACTGTTGAACCACAGTGATGGAACAGTGTAGTGTTGCCCAAAGGTGAGGCAAAAGTTGGTAGGTCAGAGCCCAGTCCAGACAGAAACTCAAGCATAGTCTTTGATTTCTGATGATGTGGCCAATGAAACTGAGTGCAGAAATCTTGAACTTGAAAAGCTGTGTATGTACTTTGAAATTTTGTTTCATTTCTCAATAACTGCTGCTATGAAATGCAACTTAAGCCTTACACCTGATGCAGAAATGGGAAAACACAACAAGGATCTTATCTGACATAGCATTAGGCTATCAAACATTACGGAAAAGGAGTGGCCCACTGATGAAAAGAACTCAGCCCATTGGACTTTAACTTTACTCTAAAAAAGACAACTATGAGGAGGAAGAACAAACACAGACTATGTGGAAACATCTGGGAGGTACCTGCTGGATGAGAACTAGTATCCAGGACATGTAGAGAACTCTCAGTGCAGCAGCATGCAAGTAGCAGTTTGATTGACGAGAATGGGGAAGGACTTGTTGCACAGTGACAGTACAGCAGTGAGCCACTAAGAAGATATTCAGCACTGGGGTGTTAAAGAAACATAAATGAAACCCACATGGGGTATTGCAGAACACTAGGTGCTGGGGAGCACATGTCATACTGGTGAGGTACAGGAAGCACAGCACATGGGATAACATTGACACATTCTCATGAAATGATGCGCAGACCTGCTGTGACCATAATCCTGTTCTTGGCTTTTGCTTTAGAGACATGAAAACTTGTGTTTACACAGAACACCCCTCCCCACCCCCACCATGGGAACATATGTAACAGTGTGGTCTATAATTGTCTCCAATTGGAAGGAATCACAGGCCCTCAGCAGGAGCTTGGAAGAGCATGCTGTGCCCTTGAATCCAGAGCACCTAGGTGGTGTGACATCCCCACAACATGGCCAGATACCAGAGGCTTGTGAGAGGCCCATGTGAGTCCTTCATCCAAGCTCTCCTAAGGAGATGCCTGAGGGGGCAGCAGTCAGTGCAGCAAGGGTAGCATCAGCTCCTCTTGGCAGAACACAGAGTGACTGTGATTCTGCACATGGTTAAGACCCAGGGACTCTGTATACCCAGCATCTCCTCATCCCTGATGCTGGTCTTCTCAGAACTGGCAATCTTAGGAGGACTGGCTACTCCATGCATAGGCTAAAGAGCTTGGGGTAGGTCTCCAGGGGTCAGGTCACTTGACTGAAACTATCTCCTATTCCCCATGGGGAAAGTGTGATCTCTAATTCTGAGAATAGGACACCACCAAGCATCTAGGCTCTCTGACCAGTTTCAGGCCACCTCCTAGACAGATACCTGTGCCAAATTAATTTTAAGGGATTTATTTAAAATAAATTAAAATTTAATTAGAAGAAATGAAATCTGCAGAGCTAGGCAAAATAAAGGTGTCACATTGGGCTCCCTGCATTCTCAGTTCTATACACAAGCCCCTTGCTCTCCTCAGATGCTATTCTGAACACTCTGTGTGTTCCACTGGAATAGTTGTATGTAGCTTGCCTCACTCTACTGCCTTTGCGTTTGTTTTGTATGAGTGGCAGCCCAAACTGGGGCGGGTATTTGGCAGGGTTGGCACCCTGACCAAAGTCTCTGTCCCTACAGACAATACTACTGGTATGACGAGCGGGGGAAGAAGGTCAAGTGCACCGCCCCCCAGTATGTTGACTTTGTCATGAGCTCTGTGCAGAAGCTGGTAACTGATGAAGATGTGTTCCCCACAAAATACGGTATGTCTCTTGTAGCTTGTGCGCAAATCTTTATGCTAAGCCAGTAGGTTCTTCAGCATTGGGCTAGAGAATCTCTGGGGTATGATTGCAAGTGAGGTCTAGAAGGGCTACAACTTTGGAATTCTGGCTCCTGCTCAACAAGGGGAACCTGGGCTAATGAGGGAGGGAGGTTCCCATGCAGGGTTCAGCCCAGCTAGGGTCAAATATTCACCTACACTCTGGGACCCACTACATGGCCCCACTTGGCCCCTGCTACCAGCTCTGCACAATGAGGCCATCACAGTCCATCTTGCTGGGGTTAGTATTTCCAGACCAGTCAAGGTCCTGATGGGGCTGCAAAACTCATCCTGAGCAGCAAAAGGCCAGCACTGACTTACAGGGTTTCCCATGTACTTGTTACTGTTCCTCTACCTGGTCTACAGACAGCCCTGGGGTGTCTACTGGAGGAAGCATGGAGCCTGAGGGCCTATTTGCTGTGCAGGTGACCAGCATGGCTCAGCCAGTGCCTGCCACTCTGGGAACATGCTGCTCTGAGGGACAGATTGCTGGGAACTCTGGGAGGAGTGGTAGCAGGTGTGACCGAGCACTTCAGGCCCATCCAAGAAAGCCTAGTTGTAGGAGCCTGATCTCCTTGCAGGTCTGTGACATGTGGCCTCCCCCTAGGCAGAGAATTCCCCAGCTCGTTCGAGTCCTTGGTGAAGAAGATCTGCAAGTATCTGTTTCATGTGTTGGGCCACATCTACTGGGCCCACTTCAAGGAGACCTTGGCCCTTGAGCTGCATGGACACTTGAACACACTGTACGTGCACTTCATCCTGTTTGCTAGAGAGTTCAACCTGCTTGACCCCAAAGAGACCGCAGTCATGGACGACCTCACTGAGGTGCTGTGCAGCAGCCCAGGTAGCAGTGGTGCCACTGGGGATGGGGCCAGCAGTGGAGCTTCTGGAGCACAGAACCACGTGAAGGAGAGATGAGCCTCCAGGGCCAGATGGGTGCACATGTGCAAAGAGACAACTGTGTGTCTGTGTGTGCGCACACATGCCCCAGGTGTGCTGGTGGCAAGGTCTGAGGGCCCTGGGCTGCGCAGAGTGTGGGCTCCATGGATGCCACTGGAGTCAAGGCGTGTTTCCTGACTTCCCTGTTGGATGGATGAGTGCTATTTGTAGTGAAGAGCCTTTGGAGTCATTCATTCATTCATTCAACAAACATTTATTGGACTGATGTTTTGATTTTTCTTTTGTGGGGTTTTCCTTTCTTGGGTCTTCCATGTGGCTCTTGCCCTCCCCTCCCCTCTCTCAGGGGGCCTCTGCAGCTTTGAAAGAAGCACCTTGTGAGAGGTGTCTCCCCTTACGGGACTTGCCCTGCAGACCTGGAGTTCTGCTGTGCTTTGGGGATGGGCTTTTATAGAGGCCTGCCCCGCAGCTTCCCTCCCTAGCCCTTGCCTGGTTCTTGGCTCGGAATCCCTGGGGTGGAGAGGCCTGGGGTGACCCATGGGGGCCCACACCTGCTGCTTGCTCCTGTCACCCCTTCTTGCTGCCTCTTCAGTGCCCATGGAGGTCCCATTTGTGCATAGGGGCCAGGGCAGCACCAGGACCTGGCTGAGGCTCTGTGTGGAAACAGGGCTGTCAGTGAAAGGCAGAACCTGCTTTAGTTCATCTGTTGAGTCATAATAAACGAACTCTCTCAGGTCAGTGCCTGTGTCCTCTCGGCCTGCTGTTCCATATTGCTCTTCTGAGTCTTCCTGAGGCTCCTGGGAAGAATGCAAGCACCTTAACCTTATTCTCACTGCTTGTACCTCCTTGAGTGAGGATGGAGGCCTTCAGACCTGTTTAGAGTTGGCTCAGGCTCAACATTGGGGGTTTAGGAGGACTCTGTGGGGATGGGGCCTAAGTTTATACCTTGAGCTGGCTCTGGGCCCAAGTAGGCTAAAAGGGTAGGGGGCCGGGAGACCGACATGGTTATGACTTGGTCCTCACAGACAACAAACTCAGGCCTTTGGATCCTGGCAGCCTCCTTGCTGTGCCTGCTAACCACTCCTGGGATGCCCCGCCCCAACAGGTCTCCTTTAAATCGTGGGGCATCCCTGGGTTTGGTGTTCTCCTGCACCTCAGTGGCCCCTGGGAGGCTGAACTTGAGGCTGGAGGCTCTTCTGTTAACTTATGGGGACTTAGCTCCTGTGAATACCTGGACCAACCCTACCTGCCCTCTACTGACATTCTCAGCAGCCATCTGTCCCGTCTGATGATTACCAGAAAATTCCAGGCTACTTGGAGTCTTCAACCTGGTCCTACTCCCTCTCCATAGATGTCTCCTAGGCCTGAGACAGGAAGATTGTAAGTTTGAGGCCAGCCTAGGGCTACACAGGGAGCTCCTATTTAAAACAAACAAACAAACAGAAAAGCCCTCCGTGGACCAAGCCTTTTGTCTTAGTTCCTGGGAGTGGAACCCACCAGACTATGTGAGCCTCTGCCCCCTGGGTATTGCCCATTACATCTGTCTCAGCACAGACCCCTGGAGTGTAAACCAAAGGGTACCCATGCAACTGTATGTCTAGGACTTACAGAAGCTTGTGGTTGGACCTCAGCTGGCTGAAAGTGCCAGTGGCGGTTCCTGGGGGAAAAGGACACCAGGGGCACAGTGGAGCTTGGCCCAGTGAGACTTCCCTCTCCTCAGCTTCCAGGTACAGGAAGCTGGACTAGAGCTTCCCAGGGAAACAAAGCTACCAGAGCCCTGGCCACCCAGTGGAGGGGAGGGTGCCCAGTGCAGACAGAATCCATGGCTGGCTGCTAGGAAGATGGGTTTCTAGCAGAAGCTGCTGTGTAGAGCCTGAGACAGAGTCTAAGTAGAGTGGTATGCCTCCACCTCTCCTTGTGGTGGTGGTGGGGTTTGCATCTGATATATGTTGGTTGGTCTGCTAGGAAGGAGTGGCAGGACCTCTAAGCTCATGGTGTTGTCACAGCCTTTGGAAGACTATCCATGAAGTGAGGGTGGCCACCTGCTGGGCTGTGCTGGTGCAGCAGCTTCCATGCTCTTAGTTACAGAGCAGTTCTTTGTACTCTCTCTCCACCATGTGGATGGCTCCTTGCTGACTCCTTGTCCCTGCTGTGGTGTTTCTCACCTATACAGGGGGCAGTCCTTGGATTTAACTTTTGGTGAAGTTGAGCTCAGCTCAAACTGAACCAACCTAGGGCAACAAAGGCTGACTGCTGATAGGAAGGCACATGTGGAATGCCCAGAGGTCCCTAAATGGTAGCAGAAGTATGGCTGTCAGTGGTGCTACCTACCAAGTGAGGGTTGGGAAGTGAAGCAAAGGGTACAGCCAAGAAAACCCACTCCATCCCTGAGAAAGCACCGAATTGCTGTGACTAGTTTGTAATGGAAATACAGATGTGAGTAGCACTACTAGTGAGGGCTCAGGATAGAGACACGCCACTGGGAATGAAAGATAAGATGTGGCAGAAGGTAGCTGGGCTATTGCACAGCTGTGTGGGAAACAGGATTTGGAAGCAGGCACCTTGAGCATCTGGCAGAGGTTTCCAAACAGCATGAAAGGCAAAGCCTGGCCTTGCCAAGATGTATTCTGAGGGAAAGAAGACAGAAGAGCTATAGCCCAGCAGGTAGCTAACAAAAACTGGGAAGCACAGAGGCTATGCGAATGACAAAGACACTCAAGTTTCACTGTCAGGAAAATAACTCCAGAGATAGAGCCCAGATGAACCTGGACAGTCCTGTTTGGACCTCAGGAAGGCAGAAAGGCTAACCTGGCCTGTTCGCAGTTACTGACACCTTTAGTCAGTCTCCTGGCCAAAAACTGAAAGTAGAGCAAAGATTATTTATGAAGGACTTGTGGACAAGGCTTTTGTCTTGAGGAGTGAGTCCTGTGATAGACCCTGCAGTTCAGTGAGGTTCTTGAGAACAGTGCATCACATCAGAAGTCCTGAGATGGAATGAAACAAAAGGCTATTGAGTCAGGAAGTTCTCAGGTGGGAAGCTAACTAGTGCAGTAAATAGTGGATATTGCTTTTTCTACAAACTGGGCAGGGCACAGGGCTAGACCCCTGAGGTAGAGGATGCCCACCATGGCTTCCTATTTGTCCTTCTATGGCCGGGAGTGCATGACTTTGTCTGGCTCGTTGGCCTGCAGGTGTAGGAAGATTATTCCCAGGACAGGTCACACACTTCTACAGGATCACACACAACATCCTGCTTTGACTTAGAGAATGTAGTTTGAGGCTTCTGAGCTCAAAGAAGATAAGGTCTGAGGCCTGGTTTGATACTGTGATGTGTTAGGACTTTGGGGTGTGATGAGTATTTTGCATATGTGATTAAAGTTTAAGTGTAGCCCATTGTCAGACTGAGGTAAAACAATCCCTAGCACATCAAACATGCCCAGGTCCATCCCCTGGAACTTATGAATGTTAGCACTGAGAGGACATAAAGTTACAGGTAGAATGACTGAAACAATGTCCATAACAGTGGAAGGGACAATATCCAGCAGAATAAACTCAGCCTGGAGCACCTGTTTGGAAGGCAGTGGTGAGGCTGTGAACTAAGGGATACCAGGCCTCAGGAACCCCAGGAGCTCCAGGGTGGCCTCCCTAGGAGGGAACCCTCTTCCCAAACCTGTCTGTCTTTCTCAGAAATCACACCCTTGGTGACCACTGCCACTTCCTGGCACTCTACTGCTGTTTGCTCTTTCCAGGAGACTAAGCTAGTGGGTATGGAACAGTGCCAGTGGAGGGGGGTGGGCATTGGGTCACAGGAGAATGGGATACTTGACAAGGAGCCATCAGCCAGGCTGGCTGTTATAGTGAACTGGCATTGAGGTGCTGACAGGCTATATAACAGCCTGCCCTACAACTGGCCTGTAGGACTTTGAGGCCCTACCCTCTCTCTAAGGAATCGTGCCATTTGCTCTCAGGATGCTCAGCTGAAGGCAGCATTAAGCTTGAGATGGCTCACCAAAGTAGAGGTTGGTTGTTTGAACATCTCTTCCTGAGGGTGCCAGGTTGTGTTTCACCCCTGGGGTGGGAAGTACCCATCAGAGTATCCTACTGTTCCTGCCTACACACTTACTACTGGGCCAATCAAGTTATGTCTTGAGACAGGGGCTGGCCTCTATAGGCCTTTCATTTACCTTTTGGTAGTCCTCATTTTAATTTCTTCAGAATAACGTCTAATACTCAGTATGAACTGCATAAGGCCATGTCTGGTGCACAGTCTTCCTAATTATTTTTCATGTGAATAATGGGCTGAGCTTGCTTTGCCTTATATACAGTCAGGAATGGGATTGTGAAGATTCCTTTATGAGCTCTGGGGGTGCAACGGTATGTAGATGGGAAGCTGCTGGGTCTGAAATAAGCTGGCCTCCTTAGTGCCTACCAACACTGACTGTAGATAACATGTCCAGTGGGCCAGCTGGAGGAAGACTGGGTGGGGATGGGTGGGTTGCTGCTTTTAGAAAATTAGATGCAGGACCACAGGAAGACATCTTAGCACCCAGACCAGATAACCAGGCACCTTTGGATCCAATCCTCACCCAAACTCACATTTCAAGTTAAAGTTAACTGAAAAAGCTCAAACAGGAGCTTGGTCCCTTGAGCTTGTCAAGTGCCTTTTGGGTACCCCACTCCTTAGAGGGCACAGCGACATCCAGAATTCAGCAAAGGGTGACCTTGGCTTTGTTGCTTTCTTGTCTGGGGTTTTGAGCTTGATTCTGCAGAGCTGCCTCCCTTAGGTCACAATGAAGCTAGGAAAAATTGGCTCTTAGGCTTCTCTGGTAAGATTGTGTGTTAACTAGGCCTCAGCTCCAGGACAGAACCACATTTGGGGCTACACTACCCCCAGGAGAGAGCCCCAAAAAGGTAGAAGAAAGCTGGCATTTACCAGGCAGAGGCCAGGGATGCTATGAACTCCTACAGTGCAAGGCAGAACCATCAGGCCCCCTACTGTCAATGTGCTATATAGTAGAGCTCTGCCTCCAGGTATTGTGGGACTTGTGCCAAATGCACAGCTTCATGGACTGGGCATTTTGCTCAGACTCCTGAGGATTGTCCAGCCACAGGCTCTTGGGCATTCAAGACATGGTACTAGACCTGTTCTAGCAGCAGAGAGGTAGTGATGAGGCTGGGGTAGGTGGCTTAGGCATATCTGGAGTGATACTGGAACTGCTATGAGGAAGACAGCATTCCTGTCACTTCTGCTATCTTCCTAGCAGAGCTCCTTGTCAGTCCATGTCTCTAGACTGCTCTTTTCCTAGCTCTGTTTCTCACTGGAAGCCCATCCCTTGTGGAGTCTAGGGAAACACCCCAGCCTTTCTAACAGACCCCCGTCCAGGGGTGAACCTCTTCCCTGAGGAAAGCCCAGACAGATACAAGTTGGGGCAAAAGCCACTTCCAGACATCCTGTGCCCTTTCCCATGCCCACCCATCCCGGATGGAGACCTTGCGTCATGTGTCTTTATGGAAGGAATTTATTGTTCCAGAACTGAAATTGCTCACAGTTATTTGACAGGGGTTACACCAGATGGGGCTTGTCCATTTCTGTGATGTCTGCGAGTCCGCATGTGTCCAAAGTACAAAAGAGGAAGGCTAACAAGAGGTATTGCTTTCAGTATCCTGACTCCATGGATAAGCCCCTTCCCACTTGTACTTCGTGGCTTTGCTGTTGTTACAGGTGTTTGATTTTGCCC